CGTACGATTCCTTCGCGGCTGGGCCTGCTCCCCTCAGCAGCTCCAAGATCTTCCCCGGATATGAACAAAGAGAGAGAGAGAGAGAGAGAGAGAGAGAGAGAGAGAGAGAGAGAGAGAGAGAAAGAGAGGAATTAAGGCATAATACAGAGAGGGAGATACAGAGGGAAACACAGCGTAACGGTGGTCCACACTCAAGCTGACTACCCCCGCAAAAGAAAAAGCAAGTTAAATACCGAAAAATCACAGGAAGGGGTACGCAGACCCCTAACCCCAACTTTTATCCAACACGTTTGCATACACTTAAAAGAGAGACACTCTGCACAGACTACTGACTCCGGTAGACAAACGACCTCCCTACGGAGCCCCCGTCGCTCGTTTTGCGCCCACGCGCCTCACCGCTCCCAGCGTGTCCATCTTGGGGTCCGGCAAGGGCACCGCCACCTCCCCCCCTCCCCTAGGCCGGCCGTACTCGTTCCCAAACCGTCCCTGGACGTCGCAGATCTGGTCCCAGATTTCGAGGCATCCCACGTTCTCCTGACAAGTGTTTTTTTAATTTTCAAAGTTGTTGTTGTTGCAAAAAAAAATGTGGTGGGTGTTCAGGAGGATGGGAGGCACTACACCGATGGTGCTCTCGACCAGAATGTAAACGACACGTGTTCGTGTGATGTGTATTCGGAAGCAAAACATGTATGTCAGTGAGAAGCAGCAGCATCCACAATTAGCATCCTAAGCCACTTGTGCATCGCCGGCTACACTTGCATACGTTGACCCGGCAACATCACCACCTCAACAATCGTGGCACCAGGGCAATGGGAGACAAGCCAACGCCGACACCCACTGCAACCACCACCGGGTACATTAAAGTACCACCGCCGCAAACACAGCGGTAAGGCATACACATCCATATCCAAACCAAAACGCCAACATACATGAGAAACCTTCCGCAACAAACCAAAAAAAAAAGGAAACCAGCACACAAACCCTTCAGGGATTTAGTGTCAGAACAGCTCTTCAACAACGCGATTCCATTCTCCGGAACAAAGGAAGGTCGTAGCATGCCCCTCCGCTGGTTCCTTCTATCTGTGTATCCCCCATCTCCCATGCAAGAAAATAACTGGGTTTTGTCCATCCCTTCTTCACCATGTAGTACGTCAACCTAGCACACCCCCATGTACCGGGCAGGCTGTGCACGAGAAAAAGGCAGGGTCAACTCAACAACACCGCTGCCAGCAATGTCGGGTGAAGAAACTACGCTGCAGGGAAATTTCAGAGGGGGTGCAGATGGCGCTCTGCTCGGCAACCCTCTCCCGCCGCGTGACGCAAACGCGTGTCCAAAACCCAGATACCACGCGCACGCAGTCTACACAACCCTTACGAATACCCTGACCCCTCCCCCTTCCCCCCCTGGCATTTTACTGCCCCCCCCCCCAAGTCGCTTGGTGCAAACAACCGCACCTGAAAGCTGAGCGCGAGGTCCACCCCGGCCGCCCCGCGCGCAGCGGCCACGCCGCTGTTGGCGGCTCCGATGAGAGGGGGGGCTTCGCACCAAGTGATGATGTTGTCCCCTTGTCGCTGATACACGTCTTCGTCTACCACCTGCGCGTGGAACATTCAAAACAAAGGCGTGGATCGGGGGGTACTCATGTTTTGCATGTCTTACCAGTTAGAACATTCACCTCGCGCCCTCGAGAGCATTGTTCCCGCAGGACAGATCGTCGATGGCGAATCGTTCGTTCCAACTTTGGCAAAGGCGGCTCAAGTTCTCTCTCCTAAGTCTATCCTATCGATATCACCCCCTCCGGGGGTATACAGAGGAGCGGGCGGGTGGACTCGAAAACTTTCTCGGCGGCGCGTACAATATAAGTTGTTTAACGCTCTGTAGCAATCGAAATCTGGCAAAATACCCAGGCTTGAGACGGAGCATGTGGCGTTCATAACGTACTCCTAGTTATGATCAAAAATCGAAATCCCCCCTTGGCGCGTTCTTAAAACCTTTCTTCCGCCACAAAATTTAGGAGAAAACCCTTGCCTATGCATGGGTGTGTTGCTCGTGTATCTCTTGCGTTCCTTGTGGGGGGGAGGGCATCCATACGGGGGTGAACGCGTGGGCGGGCTCAACATGCTCGATACTCCTGAATTTTGACCACGCAGTACATAATCACTTGTATCTCTCAACTGAGACAAAAAGGGAGCAAGCACAGCAACCCTACTATAGTATCCTGTCCTTGGATCGATGCGGGCAGTCATGGTATTGACCCATTCGCACGGGAAACAGAAAGGCTTTTCCAATGCTGCTGTCCAAGCACTGTTGTCCCACAACTCTTACCAAGATGTTCCAACACCGTGCGGAAATACCCACTCGTGGAGAGGGGAGGGGACGAAAGGAGGGGGTCATAGTCATCATCACCATCGCAGAAGTCTTAACAGCGAAATGCACCTTCGGTGACTCAATCCGTCTTCCAAAACACGGAAAAAACTAAGCTTTCCGGGGGGGGGCGCGGGGGGATCGCGAGTACCGTCGCTCGCATCGCGTGCAAGGACGGATCAGGATTGCCCTTGCCAAGGGATGAAGCGACAGCTATTTTCTTTCAACTCGGGAGGGTCAGTCGTACGAGGGGTGAACAAGTGGGATGGGGCCAGTTCGTATCGTTATCGGGGAAGGGGGGGAGATCGCGTCGGGATTGTCTCCGTTTCACGTGTCCTGTCACCATCAAAAAGACGATGGCTGGGTCATGCTTATTCGTTTCTCGACAGGTCTCACGCAACGCGAACGGCAACAAGGATGTGTGCGGGAGGTGGGCGGGACTGCTTTCATATCCAAACCATTATTAGAGGCAGAGAGATGGCACCCCCCCTAGACCGACTTTTAAAGCTCGATTACTCCACAACCAAGATTGTCTGTACCGTACCGTATACCGTACTGTGGTATTCCGTAAGAGGCAGAGAGATGCCCCCCCCCCCAAGACCGACTTTCAAAGCTCGAATGCTCCACAACCAAGGGGTTGCGGAAAAGAACCCGTCACTTCCACGGAAAGCCCTGTAGACGAGATGTTCAAAAACGACATTGGTGTTGGCACAATCTTGGTTGTGGAGCAATCGAGCTTTGAAACTCAGTCTAGGGCGGGGGGTGCCACCTCTCCGCCTCTTACAGAATACCACGGCACGGTATACGGTACGGTACAGACAATCTTGGTCGTGGAGTAATCGAGCTTTGAAAGTCTGTCTAGGGCGGGGGTGCCATCTCTCTGCTTCTTCCCGTGTGCGGTCTTGCCCGAGAGGGGCATTGTAGGCTGCCTCCATGGGAACACTTTGCGGGCGTCTATTGCGCCGCTATATGCTTCGCCGTGCTTCCCGGACGATTGCAAAAACTCAGACAGGCAACTTGATTTCCAGCTAACCAAAGCTCTCAGGGCGGCGTCACAACGATCAAGAATCGGCAGGGGCACGAGCAACGACAACATCTGCCGAATGCCGTGCAAGAGCTGAGGAGGCGGTTCGTTTGTGCGACTGCCTGCAGCCGCGACATCCACCGCCCTTGGCCCAAAAGAAGGACGCTTGCGTGTCGACCGTCGCCAAGTACCACCAACAGCAGCACTGCCACCGACATCGCTTTTGCCTAAGGCAGGACCAACACACAAAAAGCGCACCTTGGACTGCATCAGCTCTCTGCCGTCTTCCTCCGCGAGCACCACCAGCGCCGTGCCTCCCAGGCTCTCCACCGCCCGGCAAGAGATGTGCCCCGTGCCCCTGTCGTCCCACTGCCCCTCGTCGTTCAGCTGGTACAGCTTCACTCTCCACCCCGCCCCCTCCATCGCCCCCCCCGCCCCGGACCCTTCCTCTCCGTCGCCCGCGTCTGCATCCGCGCCCTCCCCCCCTCTCCCCCCGCCTGCCCCACCCCCCGCAGCTCCTTCGTCTTCCTGCTCCCCGCCATCCTCGGCCCCGGCACCCCCCCCTCGTGCACCCGTTGCCGCGTCACCCCCTCCTGCCGCCGCCGCCGCCGCTCCCTCTTTTGCTGCTGCTGCTGCTGCGGTACCACTACTGCTGTTGGCTGCTGCCCCCGCTCCCTCGCCTGCTGTTGGTGCAGCACCGCCGTCTGCTGCCGCTGCCGCGGTCCCGTCTACCGCACTCGCTACCACGCCCTTGTCTACCACAGCCGCCACGGAGGCCGCAGGGCGGTCGCCTGTCCCCCCAACTACCTCTACGGGAGACGCCGACATGTCGCGCGGCTGCCGTAGTCGTCGCAACTTCCTCGTATTATTGCCGCCAAGAAACACAACAACAAGCCCCCTCTTCTTTACGGCGCCGCTCTCCTTTTCCCACCCCTTGGCTTGGAGTAGAGTTCCGCACCCGATGCAACCCTTCTAGAACCCGCGCCCGCGTCCTCCGCCTAGGAGCGAAAACGCACCGCTGGCCCAAAAACTGCAAAGCGCGAACCCGCCGCGAGATCCCGTCTGCAGCTGCCGCTGCTGTTGCTTGTTGATTCTCCGCAGAGCGCGCAGTTGCACCACCTGCCAAAGTTACTGTTCCCGCAACAGGTGCGAGTTTTCGTGAGGGTTTCCCAAAACATATAGGGGGAGGGGGGGGGGCGCACTGTTATATTTTGCATGCCTTAGCGGTTAGACCATTGACCACGTGTCCTCGAGGACGGAGCATTGTTCCTACAGGACCGATCACCGATGGCCAATCGTTCCTTCCTACGACGCCAAAGGTGGCTCAACATGTGTGCGTGTGGGGGGGGCGGGCGAACGACAAGGAGAGGAGGAGCAAAAGATGCTGGGACACGGGCAAGAAAGAGAAAGAGTGCTTCGTTTTGGGAGAGGAAAGACGAGGAACAGCAGTACACCCCGTTTGTTGTCGGATGTACAGCCAGCCAGAGGTCAGAAGCTTGTTGCGGCAAGATTAATTATTTTGTCGTCGTTGTTGGCACGGGAGTTCGTATTTGTTGATGAGGCTGACGAAACAGCGGCGGCTTATCTATCGGCCCTATTTCGACGACGCTTCTCGGCAAAAAGCCAGCATACCCACAATACCACACCCACAAAGCTATTGTCGTATCAGGGCTCACGTTGGATACCGCATATGATTGAAAGATCGGCTCCATGTGCAGAGGCTGAGAGGGTGTAGCACCCTAATAACATGAAAGCCTCTGAATAATAGGTACACAACGGGAACCATCAACAACAACGGGATCAGACACGAACATAACCTTGACCACATTTCCGGCTAGATCCCGGTGTTTTCTGTTGTAGTGCGTGCAACCACATGGTGAAGAGGACCAGATTAGATGCTATTATAGTGCAGTGTTTGGCTGCAATGCAGGTAGTTTAGTGTTATCAGCATGCACGCGTTTGCGCCGACGTAAGATTACCACGGTTGTACACAGTTCCATGGTTTCAGACTGCTGCAGTCGTCCAAATTTGGATAAGTTTTTTATTTTTATTTTTTTAGCTTTTGTTGACGCAATACCGAAACCCAACGCAGCACAATCTTACATGTACAAAATATTGCGAGCCATCGCACCCTCCCTAGACCGATATTTCAAGGCTCGACATATGTCATAGCCTCCACAACCAAAGAGGGGTGCAAAAAAAAAAAAGTGTGGTGGCGGTGGGTGTCGGCGACGTCTCCGCAGAGAGCTATCGGTGGGTTGTTGGGTCCTCCTGGTGTTACGGAGCAATCGAGCCTTGAAATTCGGTCTAGCAGGCTGTGCGATCTACTCGGCACGCTTACCATTTAGTCCCTTAGAACGTCTGGGGGGTGGTCCCCGAGCTTTTGGTTCACGTTGTGGGATCCCTTC